GTGGGGGAGCTCGGTTTGTCATTATTAATTCCTCCTCTTGAAGTTATTTCAACCCGCTTGCGCTGCAGGAGCCATTTTAGGTCCGCCAATGCGCTCTTCTATTCAAATAATTCAGTTGCTCACCGAACAGAAAAAATAGCTTATACAATTATATCGTGCGTCCGCCGTTTCCCCACCTGCCCAACTTGTGGTGACAGGAAAACACAGGCTACAGTTCCACACCTTCTCTGAAGTCACACGCTTAAAGGTGAATCTTATTCCAATCGTTTTTATCTTAATGGCTCCAACGTGATTTAGGGGCTATCTCTATCAGTTAATTCTCTAGCGGCAATTGGCGACGTTGTCATCGCGGGGTCTCTGTGCACGATCCTGTATCGCTCTCGCACTGGTTTCCATCGGTGTGATCAAATTTCTCGCCACCCGAGCGGAAACTAATCCTCCAACCCAGATCGGATACGATCATTACAAAACTCGTGCGTGCTCGTTCTTCTTCCTCATTTGTCATCGCTGAGGCGAACACGCCCAGATAATCTTCTCCGTGAATACGGGTCTTCTCACAAGGTATATCTATTGAGTCTCTTCGTAACAAATCTAATCAATCTCATACAGTGTTTGTGCATTAGGATCCCTGGTTTCTGCACGTTCTCTTTTCTTCCTTTTTTTAAAAAAATGTAATGTGCTTTCATTTCCAGATTCTTGCCTGGCCGACAACGTTCATCTACATCGCATTTTACTTCTGCATAGGACGTCGTAAGATCAGCCTTGTCACTTCGCTGCAAACAGCTCGCTGATGATACCCAAAATAGTCTACACAAACTCTCTCCTGGCCACGCTTAATGCGCGGAAGAAGCTTCGTGAGCTGTCTGATGGGATTCAAAACACTAGTGCAATGGAAAACGTCAGTGTATCCCTTCAATCATTGGGAAGAGGCCATGCCAGTGATTTTTCGTCTAGCCAGGTGGGTTTCGTCGTGATTCCATTCTTACGCTGTATCGACGTAATGTTTAGCAACGGCAGAACATCTCAATCAAGATCGACACGAAGAAAGAGTTCGCAACGGATTCCGGGGATGATATTGAGAAGCTTTCGGTAGTGAATATGGTGTGTCGGATGTCTCTGCATGCGTGACGACTTGTTTATTGCAACACAGAATCCGGGATACGGGGAGAAAGGGCTCGGAATTGAAGGGGCTTGAACCACCTCATTTCTAACTTTTCACCGCGGAAAATAAATTAATCACTAATCATATATATGTACATTTGTGTAACGTGGATGCATACTGCTCTTCAAGACGTGCCAAAGCTCGTAGGTAAGATCGCGCATAAAGGCATGAAGTCAAACTGGAGCCAAAGCCCTTGCAACTGCGTGACGAACGTAAACGAGACCCTTCTGCCTCCTCCACGAAGGCTCATGGGAGAACCGCACAGTTTTGGGGTCTAAGACGCAACTTAGTTGAGGATCATGGGGGGCCGCGCCGTTGAGTGCGTCTGGCGAGTGTCGGAAGAGGCAATGGGATGGGGACGAAGGCGAGTTTGTCTTGCGAGGGCCATGGATTCTATGTGGGATATGTGTGTTGCGTTAGAGGTGAAGTGAATGTCTGTGTCGGAGATAGATTTCGACGGCTGAACTTCACATATCCCCGTTCCATAGAGTTGAACAGGCCTTGAAGGCGCTGAGAAGACTTTGAAAGACACGTCACCAACGATGAGGTTGGAGTCTGCGTAGTGCTGATGACTTATAATGAAAAGCACGCCATGGCAAATCACCGACGGAGTGGGGGTGGGGTAGATGGCGCTGACGACGATCTAAGCGGCGAGGACCAAACCAACAGTCTTTCCGAAGAAAAAAAACGATAAACTTGAGCGGAATGGTGGCTCAAAGAATGAGAGTCCGCACCTGCGAGATTCACCAAAGTAACTTCCGCATGCACAACTAGCATTCCCTTTACACCACCTCTAAGGTCTCCCCATCGTTATTCGCCCCCAAAAGCAATCGTTGAAGATGCTTGGGTGGTCTGAGCATCACCCCGAAACCGAATAGCTGCGTCCAAGACGCGTATCCTAAGCGACTGACGGACGGGGCGAGGATTGAGGAAGGATTCACCTCGATACTAATCTAGTCGGCGTGCTGGAACTATTCGTTAGCCATGCTGCGAATCAGAGGATTAGAAGGGTTGGACACTCACCACTAGCGAGAAAGAGTTGAGCGGAACAGCCATCTAGCGTTCCCAAGAGACCCCAAACGAGTAGTATGTCCTAGAAGGAAATTTGAGCCTATAATCGAGACGCGCGAGAGGTTACTGATTGGCCAGCAAAGCTGGCGGAGGTAATGATGGCCGTCGAGGACAACGATGTCGACGTTGATCAGAACATGTTCATCAACGTTTGGCTTCGTCATCACTCTTTCCACCATCACTACTGACCACCTTAGGAATCAGAATCGCCGCTATCGACGAGCCACGTCAATTTATTGAAAAAAGAAGGGGTATACAGTGAGAATCTCGTCTGTCTTAACGGACCCTCTGTGCTGAACAACTAGAGTAGCATCCCGACTTTTTTTTTTTTTTTTTTTTTTTTTCGACAGGCCTCAAAGCTACTTAGAAACACCTTGTCGTTGGGATGGTATTCGTTCGGGATGCAGTTGTGGATAGGATCGTAAAACTAGCAGACGCGGTGTACGTTTTGAAGGTGCATTAGCCCCCAGCTCGTTCCTACCAACATTGACTAACCTCCGTCTTCAGAGGCGCGAATATGACACAACGGCGGGCGCTGTGGGATGCCGTTTTCGACGCCTTGTTAAACTTTTCAGCGTAAACCCCCCGTTTCCTGCACACCCTGTCGCCCTTGTCCCAATATTGCATACACGACGACCACGTTGCACCCATACCCGCCCCTTGTGAGTCCGGGTGGTTTCGCCGAGGTATGCCCTCTTTCATTCATAGGATAAGCCTGACCCCACGTTCCGATGAGTAGGAAATGACCGTGACGATAGCGCATCTTTCGAATGGCGGCACGACTTCATTGTCATTCAACTATCTACCTCATTCCTACCTAGCCTCCTTCCCTCCGGTGCCCTCTTCTGCCATCGGCCCCTTGGGGTTTTCTATCCCCATGCGGGAAGCTGCCCTTCGCTTTTCTAAGGGTGTATACTCGGCACCGGTCTTGATACGACGTCTTGACGTCGAACCAATGTGATCTCAAGCTTAAAGCCAATGTCGTCTCCAAGTTGTGTTTATCTGCTCATGATACCAACCGACATGCTCCTCGATTGTTACTTTAGTTTTGAAGCTGTCGCAAATCGGGTTCCCTTCAGTGATTCAGCACTTCGCGTAACACTCCCCTCAGTATGGTTATGAATCCCCACCCCTTGACAGTCTGCTGATTGAAACTCTAGTTGCTGCATCATGCTGACGATCACATCCCATGAATGTCGGGTGGATTTACGTTTCGATCAAACTACCTCACTGCTTCTCAGCGTCTTCCACTATGACATTAGCACCTTGGCCTTACGCAAAAGTGCAATCCTCGCCTTGCGTAGACTAAAACGTCTTTTCATTTTCCAGTGTGAATCTTTTGGCCACGCTCGTAAGTCTTGTCATTGAATACCCAGTCTACAGTGAACAGTAGTCTCCCGTAGGCAACTCCTTTGTTGCGGGTGATGATAGTCGATCTCCCTTTCAGGCGGGTGATCATCGATCAGGTCCTCTATCCCGTTTTTCAAGGATCAGATTGGAAGCTGATGTTACGACGCCATGAGCATCGTTTGACAGGAAGGATGGAAGTTGAAACAATTCAAATGGAAAGTAATTCTACTCTTGATATCCCTTGGGTTTCCCTACCGTCGAATTTAACGAAGGAGGCCGTTGTTTCTCACTCAAGAGCGCAACTTTGACTTACGCTGACTTGAAATAGACCATGCACATACGTTGAACAATTGACGTCGCTTCCGTCTCGAGCGGAGGCGTTTCTTATTACGGATCAGCCGTCGCGTCTTCAGTTAGAGAAGTCTTGGATTCTCGCGGTCTTACCGCGCGCTTTCATCGATGAAACATCCCTCACTTCTATAAAGCTCATCGCGCCATTCCGTCTGATCCCCTATACCTCGGCAAACATGGTGTCCGATATAAATCAACTTGTGGAGTACGTTGGCGCCATGAGGCTGGTCACGGTACGAGAATCATCTAACTTAAAGCTTACCAACTAATTATCCTAGTATTTCAATGGTGGGTCGTCTCTGAACGTCGTCCGATCGGCATACTGAACTACTTGTTGCGCAGTCTCCGCGGCGGCGATGTTGGTGTATGACTATTTCTTGACATTGGGGATGGAGGTGGATTTGGTATGGTTGTCAGCGTGGGGCCCCATGAAGGTCTTGTTCATTGTTCAGCGATACCTTCCCTTTATAGATGCAGCTACCTTCAGCCTTATCAGTCAGTGAAAGTTCGGCCTGGTTCATGATCATGTCCTGATTTTGCGGAATCATCACAGACCAGTTATTGACGACGATTAACCCGTCGGTCTGCAAGAAAATTGCGAACGCTCAGGCTGGTATGTCCCTCCTTCGCATATTTATTGTATTCATTTCTTGAAGCCCCATTGCCCTTTAGTGCTCAGCGTCACTGGTTGTATTCTATCCGAACGTGCGTCTATTTATTAAATTCGCGTTGATCGAACATTGATGAGTGTCTTTCTAGTCATTCTAACACTACGCGTATGGGCAGTGTGGAAACGAAGCAAGTTTTTAGGAATCGCGCTATCAATACTTCTCCTTGCCACTGCGGCTGCATGCTACGTTTTCACTGGTCTTTTTCAACATGGCCTAAAATGTGAGTCAAATTAATCAAAGGATCTTTCCCCCTTTTCGAACTGGTCAATAATCGATACCTAAGTGAGCAATAGACCATATCCCGAATTTCAAGGGTGTTTTATTACGGGCACAAATCGGTTGTTATATGTAGATTGGCTCGCTTTGATGGTATATGACTCACGTAAGTGCGAAAACAATCCTAAAACAATGGAAATTATCTGACGACGGCCCTAGTTCTCCTCATCCTGATGATCATCCCCGGAATCACTGCCTGTCCGTCCTTATCTTCGTGAAGAATATCTTTACCTCATGATGCTGTTTAAGACCGAGAGCAAGGGAATGAAGGCCTCCATGCGGTTGTCTATCGCGATGGTAAGCAAGCCTCAGATATATTGCCAAGTTACTCGTTTGACCGGACCGTAGGCGTCGTGTTTTATGTCTATCTCTTTGGTAAAATGAAATCGACAGCGTGCTTGATGATGCCGTCCTTACCATACATACTCATGCAGTCATATCCGCTACTAACGTAATCGTCATCAAGGCACTGCCGGTGGGTTGATTTGATTACTTTTTTCAAAAAACATGGACTAATGTCGTATCAACAGGCAAAATATTTTTACATTCTTATGTCGTACGTTCCCCATTTCGTATCAGTACTGACGAACGCTTATGATTTGAAAAATTAAGTGTGGAACGATGCCTACATTCCGCGTTGGCGAGCAGGGTGATTTTGCACATCAGGGACCACATGCGGAATATGATCCCACTTTGCCCTCATGGCATCCCGGATATCCAGTTCGCTTCCTTCGCGGAGGACGAGATTTAGAAGGGGAGTTTGATAGCGGGCTCGTGAGGCGTATCACTACATCAGCGCTCACTGAATACGAACAGATTTTTCTTGCTATTGCCAGTTGAGGCCCGTCCCAAGATATGTAGCCTACAGTTTGCTCTGGAAAGACGGATGATCGAAAGTTTCATCGAACATCAAACAGAAATCTGATGATTGCGCAGATTAGCCTAACCCCTGTTCATTTTCATCGCTTTACCCTCCATCTAAGTACCCACTCGGTTGGTTAAACTCACTCGGTAGGTCAGAACTCGAACTACGACTCTTTATGTATTCCAAACGTTCGAAAGGCGGAAATACAATGTCACAAACGAGTGACGAGTCCTTAAACCATCGTTATTTGAATGCCACGATCGCAGCAACCGCCGTGGTCATCAAGAAAATAAGACACACTGCCCCAAAGAGTACACCGATCGCCATGGGACCCAACGAAAACAAAGCCTTGCCTCCCATACTCCACAGTGATTTCCAACGTTGGCGACTGAGGGTTCACATCAGGAGCTGGAACCGTGGAGCCCGAATCCGAGTCGCTCCACCAAGGAGTTCGCCAGATATCTCCAGACTCACGAAAAACTTCTGTGAGTGCAAGGGAGTAGTTTGACTGGCCAATTGCGGCTCTCACCCGCGACGAAAGAACGATAGCCTAGCATTCGTGATAGTGTTGAAATCGCAGTCGGTTCGCCGCAACTGTGCAGTTGACAACGTACAAGTTGACATCGGAACGGACTGGGGGCTCAGACCTTTCCACGTGCTATGTACCTTGAGCATGGGGGCTCCGGAGTCCGTTTAACGAGCACCGATGAGCGCCAATGAAGGGTCATGCTGTCGTTTATCGCGTGGTCCTCCTACAACTCGAATAATTACACAAGTGGGAGAGGAGCGATTGGCTTCTTGCGCTGAGTGTCATGCCCAATAGAGAGGCAGCGAATGAGTGGAATTGAGCTTACAACGAAGAATCAAGATGAAAGGCAGCTAGGACACCCACAAGTAGCAGTCCGAAATAACGTCAGATTGTCACGATAAACATCAGCTTAGACCTGAGAGAGACTTTAAACTAATTGAAAAACACAGGGACGAATAGACGTACCAATTCCGATTAAACCAGGTCTCAGCATGGGAATTTGAAGTTCAAGCTTGGGTCTTGGTTCCAACCCACCTTCTTCGGCTCTCCTCCCGTCATCCCACTCTCCTTCTTGCCCCCCGTTCCTATATCCTCTTCTTCAACCATAGCAGCACGGGTTGTGTCTGCTGGCTGTTCAAACGACCACAACGTCAAAGGCCTCGGAATTTTCCCTACAGCGGAAAGCCCTGGACCCCAGCTTCCTACCAACGTTTGAGCTGGCAGGCGACGAGGACTGACGATGCAATTGCGATCCCAACGCTTCACAGCATAAGGCCCACCACCGCATCATCTACCCTGTGGGCAGCCAGTCGATTAGCTCATCATAAAAAATGGGTGGGAAGCCACGATCGTACTGATAACGAAAAGTAAGCCATGACAGATCGCGGAGGGAGTGGAGATGGGGTGGGTAGATGGCGCTGACGATGATCTAACCGGCGAGGACAAAACCAACAGTCTTTCCGAAGAAAAAGAAAGATAAACTTGAGCGGGAATGGTGGCTCAAAGAATGATTAATGAGAGTTCGCACCTGCAAGATTTACCAGAGTAACTTCCGCATGCATGACTATGATTTCCTTTACACCACTTCCATAGTCTCCCCATCGCTATTCGCCTCCAATAAGTTGTTGAAGATGCTTGGGCGGTCGTAGAATCACCCCGAAGCCAAAAAACTGCGTCCAAGAGACGCGTATCCTAAGATACTTGAGCGACTGACAGACGGGGCGAGGATTGTAATGATTCACCTTGATATGATTCTAGTCGGCGAGCTGAATTTATTCGTTAGCTATGTCGCGAATTCGAGGGTTAGAAGACTCACCGCCAGCGAGAAAGAGTTGAACGGAACAGCCATCTAGCGTTGTCGGACAATAATAAATTAATGATGGTCGTCGAGGACAACGTTGACGTCGATCAGAACTTGTTGATCAAAGTTTGGCTTCGTCTTGGCTTTGTCACTAGTAACTAGTAGGTACTATGCCCTACCAGCACCTCGGCGCACCCCAGCCAAAATGGGGACCGTCTGACCCCCCGAAGAGTCGGCTACTAGCCTTGAGGCTGGTAGCCTGGGAACGATCACCGCATCATTCGGCAAAGCCCGTCAGCTCATCAGAGACTCTGCTCTACACAAGTCTACACAGCAACTTACGTAGATTTTTTGTCGCGACAACCTACATCTCAAAAAAAAATGCCATGAATTTCGAAAACAGGGATACTTTCAAATTTCAAACGACTGTTGTGAAAGATACCTCAATTTTTTCTATAAATGACACGGAGTGACGGAATCAACACCACCAAACAGTTACCAAATAGAATGTTAGAACTTAGCGCTGTATACGCTTTATGATACGCATTTTGTGGCGACGGTAACGGATTCCACGAGGAATAACTTTACATTGTTCTAATACAAATGGATAGTGAAAGGTATAAAGAAGAACTTACAAAGTCAAGCTAAGCATCAACCAATCAACAACCAATAACCACAAAACTAGCAAGTAACAAGTCCAGCACCCAACTTAAGCATGATGCATGATGTGTTATATGTGTCTAATGCATTCAATGACTCTTCATATATGTGGAACTGAATGTTTGCGAGCAGTGTGATAATTACAAGAGGCTCGGAAACGAGACGCGACATGATACATTAACGCGACGGACCCTTCACTACGTCACGTTCAGCTATGGCCGCACGTGAGGGCATCAGCGGCGTTTTCCGAGGGAGCGTCCAGGCTTGTAGCACTGAGGCTCGTGGCCAGGTCAGCGGGCGGTCCGACATTCTGCCAAAATGTGTGACAATCAGTGACTGCCGGCTCGTAGGGTGCGCCGAGGTGCTGGTAGGGCATAGTACTTACTTACTTTCCACGACCCTCAATTATCGACAAGCTTAGGACTTAGAATCGCCGCTATCAACGAGCCGCGTCAATTTATTGAAAAAAGAAAAGGTATCAAGCGAGTATTTTGTCCGTCTAAACGTCCCCTCTCCGCTGAACGAATCAAGAACGAATAGTATCCCGACTTGTCATGCGACAGACCTCGAAGCTACTCGGAAGCACGTTGCCGTAGAGATGGTATTTGTTGGGGATGCAGCCATGGATTGGATCGTAAGACTAGCAGACGCCGTGCATGTTTTGAAGATGCATTAGTGTGTGTATAAGTACTCGGCAACGGTCTTGATACGACGGACGCCTTAACGTCGAAACGTGTGTCTATCTCCTCGTTGGTAGTTGCTCTAAACGTAGCACCTCCAGGCCCTTGTTAATCCTTCTCTTTGTTGAAAATAATCCCAGAAAATGAAACGATGACCGCTGCTTTTCGACAAAAAATGGATCAAAAATGGCTACGGTGAACTTGCTACTAGGTTCAGGACTTCCAATTACAACAAGATACCCTGCTCTCCAACCCAGGAAACACGGGCACAACGAAGGACGATAAAACGACGTAGCAACCATAACATCCTAGCCCGATCGCAACCAACGCACCCGCCGACCACACCAATAAGAAGACCCACAAAAAAATCCACATGAAAAAACCTGTTTCATCCGGTCCTACTAACCCGCCCTGCCAAGTCTTGAACATACCATACGACCACATCGTGGACCATGCAAATGGTGGGAACAGGGCCGCTGCATGAACGATGGTATGCAATGTTATCCTGAACGCGGAAAAGACTGGGATGTATCCATTAATTTCGGTTCTGTGCGTCATTTCAAGGAAAGAGAAACTTACGAAGGTCGCAGATCACTTGAAGACGCGGCCCAGGATCCTTGAATGGGGAAGTTGCCTCTTTGAAAAGCGAGGATGCCTTTCGGAGCCACTGGCTTCTCCCAGAATTTCCTTCTTTTACACCAAGAATTTCAAGTTCTCCTTCAACGGATACTTGGTCATGTAAAGGAGTATACGATGGTCGCCAGGCGGCAAACAGAGGCTCAATTTGTTCCGTGTACCAAGGCCTTAGCACTTGAGAGAACTTCCGCACGATAGGATCAACAACCAATCTCACATATGGGGCTATAAAGTAACCCATTGAAGCCACGATCGCAAAACATCCAACAATCCCGATGATGAAAGCGATGGATGCCATGACTGTCCAAACACTAACGGCGACGGCGGCGAATAGAGAATCGAACCATGACAGTTGAACAGATGACTTCTCAGGCGGTGTTGGTGGAGGGGTGGAGGGCGTATCACTTTTGTCGAAGCCCAAGATGCCTCGAATCCCGGCAAACCATAAGGAAGCCCATCTTTCTGCCAGGACGAGCGCTACGAGGTGGCTAGCGACGATGAGGACGATCTTCAGAAGGGTGACGACTTGGCATCTAAAATTAGTTTGAGGCGATTGAAATGAAAGGCGAGTGCTTACGAAATGGAACAATTCCTTTCACAATCTCTGATAGCTTGTCACTGAATGCTTTTGAACTCCATGAAGCAGTCGAGCAGCTTGGTTTGACGTCAACGAGGTAAATTGCGTCCGAATCATCTGATTCGAGTTTTATGGGCGAAACTGCTAGTTCTAAGTCGTTAAAGGGCTGGGTAGGAACGACCATTGAGCTCCAAGTCGGAACTACTAGCACTTAGAATGACAGGAGGAGCCTCAGAAACAGCAAGGAAGGTGTGCAAGTTGTGGTTGTGAGAAATCTTGATGGCGTGTGTGTGTCATGTGACGTTGAGGCTGTGTTAAGAAAGATTATAGATAAGATAAGAAAACATTAGACGAATTTCAAACGAATATGAGGAAGGTTTGTATGGGGAGGAGGGGTGGAAGATGAGTGCCGAGCAGTAACCAATTTTCGTGGAAGCCACGTATGAGAGGGATATCATGTCCATCTTCTTTCCCCCATAAATAATTATCCGTCGTATTTAGTCTATGTATACCTCCTAGCACTGAGTTAGGCTACGGACAATGAGGAGCCTTTTGCTTTGTCATTTGTGTCGTTCAGGCGGTCATTCTGAAAACACTATCGAATCGGTATATTTATTTACTGCATCCCAGCCAACAAGTCAATATCTAGTATCTCGTCGGGTCGAGTCTCGGTCTCTGTTCAGTAAGAATTTATACAAGGCTGCGTAGCAAAAGAAGTGATTTCATACCATGATATTATATCGTCGGATGGAACTGTTCAGTAAAATGTTATTAATGACGGATGGAGAGAAAAAAATGTGATGTTCTTCACCAGGGTTTTTACAGCGGGTTAACCTTGGAAATGTTATTAAAGATATAGAAACAAAAAGGGGATGTTCCTCACTAAGCGTTTTTACAGCATCTCCAGCATGATGTTCCATAGGTTTCATGCCATGGGAACCATCCATCGCCGCATTTTTCGACTTCCGGAGTGCAGTAGCCAGTACAATAAGACTTGCCGCCTGGGTTCGGGGCGGAGTAGACGAGTGGGGCAAGGCAGAGGAGTATAGCGGTCAAGGTGAACTTCATGGTAATCTGGTTCTAGACGGTGGGTGAATCACTTGGGTTTGGAGAAATGTTGTTTTATTTTGAAACCCATTCGACGCGTTCCTTTATAGGGTATTTGCACGGAGGCTTTATGAAAGCCATATCGCGAGGTCTTGTCGTCCCCGATTTGTTACCGAAGTAATACCCGTCACGTATCATGATCATTGCAGATTCACTGGTTCCGGAATAATATTCCAACAACGGCACATTTAAACTATATTTTTGGAAAGGCCCCGTTGAGGGCTTTTTTGTAGTATAAATTTGGATTTTATAAGCTGTAATATTATGCCGAAGTCACTTAGCCGCGCAAACGTCATTGGATCACCATATATTAATACACCTCACACAAACCATAACCTCACTCGGAAATCTCGTCGTTACGGTTCAAGTATTTGTGGTCGAGAAAACCGATTTTAATGCCATATACTTTATAAAGACAGTGGGAGATTCAGGCTCTGAATGTGTTTGAAGAGTTTGACAAAGCTGACCGAATATACAACACGCGTTAGTGACAATCAAGATCAACAAGCGTCGCTCTGTCTATTCTGAGCTCCCCGAGTGTTTGAATGGTTTGGCTGAATGTCGGGAGTCGGGACAATATCGGGATGCTTGCTTCTGAAGATCGAATGCTGCAAATCCTCGGTTCAAGTAAAGCTCGCACGCGGAGGCTTTGTAAAAGCGATATTGGAAGCGAATAAATCACTGGAGACGCAGGCCACGAATTGAATTGCTTGGTTGAATGTCGGGAGTCGGGACAATGGATACCTTCCCGTAAGAATCTGAAGACGTCTGAAGATTTCAGAATCGGAATTCAGATTGGTTGCAGATTGGTGTTGATCAATGTTTGGCCAGACCTGAGATCTGAGACCGTACACGTGATTTGCTCTCGCCTACGGCGTGAGCGCTGATGAGTGAGAGGACCCCACACAGAAACCTCATCCACATTCTACCCATTAAACTGACGCCTTTGTTGTTGCGCCAATGGCGTACGGGTCTCCGCCTTTCTAGTTATGGGTCTGAGGAACGAGGAATCGTTCCGTGATTCCGTGAATCTCACCTTTTTTCGTTCCCTCATCAAACTGGCACTGCACTACAGTAAGTAATAAGAAACCTTCTCCCTCTCCGATGAAAGAACCTCCGTGACAACACAAAGTTCAGTGAAACTTTGTTCAAGTACTCTCAGCCAACGTACGGATGACATATGGACCGCCAAGCTCGTCTAGTTCGAGTAAACTGTATTTGTAAACGACGGTCATTTTTCCTACTTCAGAAGCGCTGACAAGTTTCACTCCACAGTTCAGTTCACCTCTCCATGTCGTGAAGTCTCTAACTATCACCATGTTGACGACGACAGCGAGCTTCCCCCAAGTTTGGCTCGTGATCCCTCCAACGTCACCCTTTTTCGTTGATGCGTCGTATCGTAGTGAATTCAGAAAGGCGCGTTTTGGTGGAGGAAATTGTCAGCTGAACTAGTGAGTTTCCATGTGAATTATCCGTAACAATCGTCTAACACAAGAACGCCGGCATCTGCAAGGTTTTGCTTCCAGAGGGCGCTGCGAACACGTTGTCTTGATTTGAGCAAGGACCCACATACACCCTATAACGCGCCTTTAAATCAGATCTAGAACTCGGCCTTCACAAATTAGCTATAAACGATGGCTACGTGTAACCTACCGAATCGGCCCGGCCGATGGCACAGGATTGGGATGCTGTGACGCAAGATGGATGGTTGTCCCCTGTTCAAGGTTCCTTACAGCCGTTTTCATAACGATAGGCCTAATCTCGACCAAATACACGTACGGGCGGAATCTAAAATTGGACGTGTAAATTGTCGGATGATGACTCTATTTAGTATAACTGTAGATCTATCGTGCTCGTCATCCCTGAAATATATGCTGATTTTCGTTGACATGATTAGAATTCGAGGTCCGACTGTATCTGTAATTTTGAACTTTTGGCCTATCGTTATGAAAACGGCTGTAACAACAGTTGAGTTTAAGCTCCTTACTTGCCTATATTCTCATACCGCTGTGCTCAGGGGTCGAATCCTTTCTCGTATCTCCGCTCGTCACTACCTCCACGTCGTGGTGACTGAAATGATCCACCTAGCTCCCTGCTCGTCATTTTGCTTACAAATATTTCTTGTCCCAACGAAACGGCTGTACGCTAGCGGAGGCGTACAACAACCTTATACCCCCCTCAGGCTCCGGCTTCCCCTGGACTGTATGGGCCTCCATCCAAACTGGTCCGAATCTCGAAATAACGCGTAGTCACTTTGTCAATACGCTGAGTGATTCCCCGAGCATCATGGAGGGGAAAGCTCCGCGCAATGCCTACAAAAACGATTGTCTTGTTCCTCGTCATGATATCAGCTTGGAGAAATTGAAGAAATTCTGGGAGTCTAGCTTTGCGGTGTCTTCGCTTCGGGATTCTGTCTGGAGAACGGGGACGGGGGATGGGGGACGGCTGCATACAGATATCAGTGACCAGTTTGGATTAGGAGGGAAAACAGGGTTAGGTGAATGTGCGCACGAGGGATTCTATCTACAAAGGTGTGTCGGAACTTCGTCGACTATCCACTGGGTGCTCACTGATATCGTTCCCCTCAGTTTTTTCGTCATTCGTCCCACCCAACGATTTTTACCCCGCATATATACTCAAGGCAGGCATTTTGGGGACATTCTTAGACCGGAAAACCCCTATAACAACGACGGAGGTTAGTCAATGTTGGTAGGAACGAGCTGGGGACTAATGCACCTTCAAAACGTACACCGCGTCTACTAGTTTTACGACCCTATCCACAACAGCATCCTGAACGAATACCATCCCAATGACAAGGTGTTTCTAAGTAGCTTTGAGGCCTGACGTCAAAAAAAGAAAAGAAAAAAAAAGTCGGGATGCTCTCTAGTCATTCAGCAGAGAGGGGACGTTTAAATACTCACTTTATACCCCTTCTTTTTTCAATAAATTGACATGGTTCGTCGATAGCGGCGATTCTGATTCCTAAGGTGGTCAGTAGTGATGATGGAAAGAGTGGTGACGAAGCCAAACGTTGATCAACATGTTCTGATCAACGTCAACGTTGTCCTCGACGGCCATCATTACCTCTGCCAGCTTTGCTCCCCAATCAGTAACCTCTCGCGTGTCTCGACTATAGGCTCGAATTTCCTTCTAGGACATACTATTCATTTGGGGTCTCTTGGGAACGCTAGATGGCTGTTCCGCTCAACTCTTTCTCGCTAGTGGTGAGTGTCTAACCCTGCTAACCCTCTAATTCGCAGCATGACTAACTAATAGTTCCAGCACGCCGACTAGAATAGTATCGAGGTGAATCCTTCCTCAATCCTCGCNCCGTCCGTCAGTCACTCAAGTATCTTAGGATACGCGTCTTGGACGCAGCTATTCGGTTTCGGGATGCTGCTCAGACCACCAAGCATCTTCAACAACTGCTTTTGGAGGCGAATAACGATGGGGAGACCTTAGAAGTGGTGTAAAGGGAATGCTAGCTGCATGCGGAAGTTACTTCGGTGAATATCACAGGTGCGGACTCTCTTTAATCATTCTTTGAGCCACCATTCCTGCTCAAGTTTATCTTTTTTTTTCATTCGGAAAGATGGTTGGTTTGGTCCTTGCCGCTTAGATCGTCGTCAGCGCCATCTACCCCACCCCCACTCCCTGGAATTGGCCAAGCCTTGGGGAAATACACACAAGGCAACGCAACGATCATCATCGCTGGGAGGAATCGCGCCACCGCTGATGCCATCATCGCCAAACTCCCCAAGCCAGCGACCCCTGGTGTCTCTCACGAGTTCATCGAATGCGATGCGACCCTCATGAAGAACGTACATGCTACGACCAAGGAAATCCTCTCGCGCCATCCGAAGATAAACTTCCTGGTCATGTCCCCTGGGTACATGACGTTGAAGGGTCGAGATGAGACGGAGGAGGCGATCGATCGGAAGTTGGCGCTGAATTACTATGCCAGGTGGACTTTTGCGAATGGGTTGCCGCCTGCGTTAAAAAGAGCAAAGGAAGACGGGGAGGACGCGAAAGTGTGTTCGGTGTTGGGCGCTGGGAAGGGTGGGGAGATTGACGTTGAGGATTTGGGATTGAAAAAGTCATTCTCTGTGGCCAAAGCCGCGCTTGCTTCGATCTCATGATGGAGGTGAGTGACAAATTTTTTTCTCATGATTGAGTACTCAGAAATTGTACAGGAACTCGCTGAACGAAATCAAGACCTCACCTTTATCCACGGTTTCGTCCGCACTAACCTTCTATCCTCCGCTCAATCGGCGATCCTCCGAGCGGCCTCCGGTATCATAAGTGGTCTGACATACGCAGTTTCGACGGCCCCTGAAGATTGCGCCGAGTATATGTGGCATGGGATATTCAATAGCACCAAAGGTGCATTCGGCAGAGCCTCGGAGGCTTTGCCGAAGTTCCTTTATTTATAACGAGGCAGCGAAGAAGAAAGGTGCCTTCAAGTCCCCCCTTTTGATCTTTCAATGAGGTTCAGCACATTCATTGCCCTCACCGCTCTTTTTATTCCTGCCTGCGCCTATGGGGCGATCTATTCACTCTCCGATGAGGTTTACGGCCCAGGCTTCTACAGCTTCTTTGAATGGGA